TTATTAATGTAACAATTTAAAAGTGAATTTGTTTGTTTGCTTGTTTTTTAAAGAAGACTGCATTAGGAATATATCCTGTGTCGCGGGGGACTTTATAAACATACATGAAACGGACCCACAACACTCAGCGTAGTAGTAAGCGGCGTGGCGACCACTTAAACCACTACGCCATCCGTGCAGTCAAAAATCTTTTATGAATGGAGTAATACATTATCAGCGAGTAACATCCACTTAACACCGTTAAAACGACATACATGCCGGCGGAGCAGCGGGCAAAAGCTAGTAATAAATACATACATAACGGAGTAACACACACATGTCAAAATTGACCTGATGATTAAAGTAAAGACTAAAAGAAATACAGACACGTTTTTTCGAAAGAGAAAGTTATAAAGTAAACTTTCTGTATTTCTTTTTTGCCATGGGAGAGCCATACTTTGCCGTGTGTACACCTGACCATGTATATGCAACGCTAGTACCTTGCCTACTCGACTGATCGTCTCGATGCTGTACAAAGTTGGCAACTCTTCAAAGCATCAAGACGATCTGTTGAGAAGTTTAAAGCATTGCGTTTATATGGTCTGGTGTACACACGGCAAAGTTGCACCTAAAGGTACACCTGAGCATATGCAACGCCTTACCTCAACTACTCGACTGATTGTCTTGATGCTTGCTGAGAATGGAGAAAGAAAGAAAGGTTTTTTTTTTCGAGAGATTTACTATGTCTTTTTCTTGGCGCTGCGTGCTCTCAATGCGTTGTCGGAACTGTCGGATCATGATAAAAAAAAAACATGTTTGCTTTGCTTAATTAGTTTACAAATTCCAGATATTGCGTACTGACTTGCTCTAGTTTTTAATTTTATGTTTTAACGTATTTTATCATAGGTTTGTTTGTTTTATTGTAAGTCTTCCATTATTGTATTGGTCTATCTGTGATGATAATGTAAGATATTTCTATGGTCAACTAAACCCTACGGTCATTATGATTACATTAGACTTGTTGACTAGCCACCATATCCTACTTAGTGGATAAGCTGGAATCACAGCTAGGGCTTAGCCACGGTAAGGCAGGGCGAGCCATTTACCACATCTAGGATGCCGTAATCCGTTACGATACACTAAAATTTTTGTTCAAATTCTGAAAATCAATTTATAAATAGATCCCTAAGAGATCCTTGTAAAGATTTTGCTAAAATAAATATACTTCAAATATTTTCTTATTGATATTGAGACTGCACGGATAGCGTAGTGGTTTAAGCTGTCACCACGCCGCTTCCTACTACTTCGAGTGTTGTGGGTTCAAATCCCACATGGGACGACACTTTGTGTGATCCACAAATTGTTGTTCTAAGTCTGAGTGTTCTTTGTGTCCGTTTCGTGTATGTTTGTAAGGTCCCCCGCGGCGCTGGATTTATTCCTAATGCGGGAGTTGTCTTTTTTTAATAAATATTATTATGCAGAACAATGTATTTTCTTTCCTGTATTTGCCTTACGCTAATACCAATATTCACTGCGCCGTTGGATCTTATTAAAGTTGCGTATGATAATAACACAGTTTTAAAACGTATATCATTATATTTCGATCGTCTGACTAAGCAGACATATTTTTTGTATCGGACAAAAGGTACAAGATAGAAACCGGTAATAATTTCTTTTAAATATTTTTTCTGTAGCGTAAGTAGTTGCCGCTAAGTGTGTCACGAGCGATTTGTGCCTACTGTGTCTGATCTCAAACTGTGTGTTTAACATGGTAAACAATCCGTCCATGCCCAAGAAAAATGATTTACCTAGCGAGGTAATGCCGACTTCAGAGTTCCAGAAATAGATGTCAAACATTGATGCACTACACATCTGCATCTCAGAAGATGTATGTTACAAATATTTGCCGTAAGATCGGGTCTGGAACCTCTCAGATGGCCTTATTGTACCAATCTCTGAAGCAGAAAACTATTCCATACCAGTATAGAGAAAAAACCAGGATGTAGTGAGCACCCTCAACCAATTTAAAAGCTGTTGAAGAAAAGCTGAGTCCTCAGGAACGTACTTCTTTTGCCGATATGGTTTAAAAGATTCAGATAAGTTTATCCGAGCAATGTTAGTATCCTTGCTATTCATCCTAGTATCAAGGCCAAAACTAGTGAAGGTACTATTTACGGGGGGGGAACTAAAACTGCACGTAAGAGGCCTCAGAAAAGTGAGAAATGGAGGCGTTCTTATTATTAGAGTAGAGGATTTATCGAGGAATTAAAGCAGTCGGAGAAATTAATTTCATCAGGCCTTAACATTGAAAAGCCTACTAAACGTAATCCAAGAGTCACTGTCGTGGGTATACCCGTAGAACTGACCGAAACAGAGGTGCTTAAATGTATTTATGAGCAGTACTTAACGGACAAGTTTCCTGGTTCAAGTCCTGTCTCAACACCAAAAAATCAAGTAAGAAACCCCTTCCTACCTGTAACCATATACTTGAAGTTCCGGCTAAACTTAGAAAAGTGCTCATTAACTAAGGGAGAATCTACATAAACTGGACTATTTGTCCAGTTAGAGACTTTACGCTGGTGACCAGGTGCTTTAGCTGACACCAGTTCGGTCATTAGGTTAAATACTGCCGTGGCCCCAGCCATACCTGTAACCACTGTAGAGAGCTCGGACATAATGCAAAAAAGCATACAATGCAATGCAATGCATCGGAATCCAGCAGAAGTATACCACCACCTTTTTTTTTTCCGTGCGGAAATCCCCTCGGATACCACCTGTCGGTGGCATGTCGGACACGAACCGACTAAAACCGCACGCCGTCTCGGGTACTAATAGCCGGGGAACCAGGTATACCCTAGAAAGGAAGTCCCTGGTGCAAGTATACCACCACCTGGTGCGATGTGTAAACGTTACAAATGGACAAGTGATCATTAAAGTGGTGACGCAAGTACGGAATACGCTGAAGACAAATACATTAATCTATAAATTATGAGGGCGCCTAAGATCGCCGGTAAATGTTCGATAGTGTGAGCACTTAAACCTATTTATATTTTTAAACCAGTTGCTCTGTGACCTAGATAATTTCTGTTTTGTTTCGTGAAGTTAAATATTGTGAATTCGAAGACTGTAAACAATATGTACCGACTACCAATAATTTACTCACACTTATAACTCGAAATATTCGTAACATACACGAAAATATTAATATTTTGAGGTATTGTTTCATACTGTGATGTTATGATCTGGACAGAGTGTTGGTTGTCTAATCAGCAACCTCATTTACCACTCTTAATAGTTACTTAATGGATAAGACTAATATAATATTAAAACAAAACGATGGTTAAGTAATATATACAAAATTTTAGTTGAATATATCCCACTTTTCAGGGTTGTAATTCCTTAATTATGTAAGTAATTTTTTGCCATATATAGACCACCTTCACAAAGCAATGACATATTTTTAGAACCACATGCAATTGCATTAAAAACCCTTACATCTTATAATAATATAATCTTAACTGGTGAAACCAACATTGACATTGTTTCTGCAAATATCCTACCTAGAAATACATAAATATAAAACGATGGATTACACCTGATTTCATATGTAAATTCACCAAAACTCTAATTTAGAGCTTGACAGAATCATCATCCCAAATCGAAAGTTGCTGACATAAATTTGAATTTCCTCAAAACACGTTGATTTATTCTACACAAGAGTAAGAAAATTCATATATATATTTAAGAGTCTTCGCAATGCAGCCAATTACACATTAAAAAAGCAAGTGTATTTATTACACGCTTTATATTAGCTTCACTTGTATGTTTGTTTGTATGTTTTTATGTTTGTAACCGACTCCTTTGGGCGTGATTTTGACTGACTTTAAACGGTCAGAATTCGTTCAAACTTTGCATGCCTTTAAAATGCGCTTAAAGAGCCATTCTTAAGGTGACGACATCCCGCCCGTTCATATTTCCCAACCAGCTTTACACAGTTATTTACATTGCACAGCATTTTAAAACAGCAAACTAAACTTCTCTATACCCAATACAATCAAATAAGAGAAGGGTCCTTCCTTCTCTTATTTTATTAGCATGTAGCAGGCCTCATGCTAGTCTCGGGGCACCAGAGACTTCCTTTCTAGGGTATACCTGGTTCCCCGGTTATTAGTACCCGAGACGGCGTGCGGTTTTAGTCGGTTCGAGTCCGACATGCCACCGACAGGTGGTACCCGAGAGGATTTAAGCACGGAAAAAAAGAAACAAAAAAGGGCCTCATGCTAGTCATGCATTTGTTTATATATTGCATTTATTTTTAGGACTTTTCGTGTACAATAAAATTAATAGAATACTAAATACATACAACCTTAATAATAAAGTCTATAATTATCTCATCAGAATATTAATGCCACAGGACACAGAAAATACATTGACAATGTGTAAAAAATCATGCATAAAAAAACTATTGGACTAAAATATCACTTCCATAGTTTTACACTAGTATAACTTAGTCTAATTATTGTCTAAGATCCACTCGTATTTTAAACCGAAATGTCCTACATTGTAAAATATATTTTGGTCAAATAAAATAATAACACATTTGATTACTATATAATAGTCCATCAAGGTCGTGCGCGACCGTCCTGCGGGGTGACAGACGGTGGCGGGGACGAGGTACTCAAGATGTCAGCGGGTAGCGGGTGGTGTAGCGGGGAAGGGAAACGCGTGTAGCCGTGTGCTAGAATGACGCGCTACCTCGCCCCCGCCACTGTCTGTCACCCCGCGGGACGGTCGCGCACTAGATTGCCGGGTTATAACACAAATGAAAAAATATACACTTTACTGCGCAAGATAAACATGTACTTTATAGCATTTATGGAACGTAAACAATAATTACTAACGTGGTATTTAAACCACAATTATCTTAAAAAAACGATAAATGGTAATGGTTTTTTTTTTCTATAGTAGCATTTTATTATTTCTTCTGTGCCTAGGAAGTGTTTGTCGCATGGAACATCGTGATGGCAAATTATCGATTAGCATCATTCGAAGCTTTTCCAATAATAATATTAGCTACATTTATCGATTTTGTAACCAGCAATAATACTGTAATAGAAGATGAAATACCCAAAGAGCAACTAGACCCCGATCATGAAAACTTTAATTTTAAGGAATATTTAAGTAAATATAGTCCATCTAAAGCTTGGGAAGAAATCGACAAGAAAAGAAAGCAAGGGGTACAAATGTCAGATGAAGAGCAATTAGACATAATGTTCAATGCCCTGGACCAAACCGATGATGTTTATAACCTGCGTATAGGATCGCACATTCCTAAAAGTGATGTGCCAAAAGACGGCCGACGTTTCGGCTGGCAACCACCGCAAGGATTTAACCGTTATGTTTTCTATTTTGACAAACATTTCAATAGACATCGAATATACGAACTCATGAGACAGGCGATATATCAGGCTAGAAATCGAATGATTGTTATGCAAATCCATAGAGAGCAATATCGTAAGTCATCTATGTACAAAATGGGTTTCTTAACTAATAAAGCCGATATTGCTGTGAAAACATTCGCCAAAGTCAGTTTCAGAGCTCTTAGAAGTTGTGTAGCCAGTAGAACCGCTACAATGATGCGGTCACCAGTGTCGGAGCTGATAGAGTTTAATAGGAGGCAACTAACTTTGTGGTTTGACGCACAAATATTAGGACAGTTGGTTTTGAAAAACCACGATATCGCAGTAAGCGTTATAACAAATACCACGCTACCTAATATAAAAACGCTGAATGAAATGTTTATTGAATAAAGCAATAATTATCCCTTTCAATGTGCTATGCGATTCTAAATTTTCACAATAAGCAAATTAGTTTTTGAAGTTTATAAATATGTAAAAGTTGTGAGACAACGACAAACTTAATTTAAAAATTAAATTGTTTCGACAATTCAAGGAAAAAGAACCAAAATCAGGATTACATGTGAAAGATAGCTAAAATGTGTTTCAATAAAATATGTAAACGTTTACAAATAATTTACAATATCACCCCGTTCCCAATTTCCATCCTATCTAAAGTACTTGAGGCCTGTGTGAACCAACATAATATATCCTACAAGCTACTAACCTACTTTTCCAATCGGGATCCAGGACCAGGCACGATTTTCGCTCTACTAAAAGTGTCCGTCTGGTGATGAATTAAGAATCCTAACCCTTTTTTTTTTTTTTTTTTAACGTGTGGAAATCCCCTCGGACCGTCACCCCTCCGGGGTTTGCGGCGGGGTGGTGTGTCGGACTCGGACCGACTAAAACCACACGGTGTGCCACTCTGCGCCTGTAACAGGAGGGATCCGGGAACAGCTGTTGTTAAGACATCCGGACCCCTCCTAGCGCCAGCCCGCTCCTGGTGCGGGCTCCGTCTCAATATTTTTCCTCTCTTTAGGCGACGTCCGGCACACGCGGACGCCGCCCCCTCGCGGCTGGCCAAACTAATGCGGGTGGAGGGGAAACCCACCCCGTCCACCCGCGGCCACACTCAGGGCGGCATGAGGCTGTGGTAGGCGGGCCTCCGCCGCCCGGTTCGCCGGCGGCGGATCGGGTCCGAGTGGAGGTCGTCCTCCCGGGCCCTTTCCGCCGCCTCCTTCCGCGAGATTACTACCTCGCAGAAGGTTGCGACCGCGGTAAAACAACAGTCCACTCCGATGACTGCAGTGAGGGCCCGGCGCTGCGCCGCCCATGCGGGGCAGACCGCCAGCGTGTGCTGGGCCGAGTCCTCACTGCAGTCGCAGTGGTGGCAGGCGGGACTCAGTTCCCTCCTAGCGACCGTGTGCAGGTACTTTCCGAAGCAACCGTGCCCGGAAAGCACCTGCGTCAGTCGGAAGGAAAGGGTCCCGTGCTGCCGCCCTGCCCACTCGGCGATGACCGGCTGGAGAGCCTCCACGGCGGCGAAGCCAGCGCGTGGAGTCTCCAGCCGGAACGACCAACGAGCCATCGGGGCTCGGCGAGCGGCTTCGCGCCACTCGCGCACATCCTCGGGCGGAGGGCGAAATCCGCTCTCCGCCCGGAAGTCAGCCACTCGCCGATAAACTTCGGCGAGCACTTCCGCCTCCAAATCCCACGGGGGAGTTCCGGCCAACGCGCATGCCACCTCCGTAGAAACGGTGCGGTAACCGCGTATGGCTCTGACCGCCATTACCCTCTGAGGGCGCCAGAGGCGTACCCTATTCTGGGCGGTCAGAGCCGCCGCCCACACCGGTGCACCGTACAGCGCCATTGACCGGACAACCCCCGTGTACAGCCGTCTTGTCGCGACGCTGGGTCCACCCATATTGGGCAAGAGTCGCCCTAGGGCAGACGCAGCGCTGACCAGCTTCGGAGCAAGCTGTCGGAAGTGCTCGTCGAAGAGCCACCTCCCGTCGAGGACGAATCCTAACCCTATACCAACCCGTCTGGCCAGCGTGGTATATTAGACCAAAACCTCCTTTATTAAACGTAATCCATACTTCCGTACTTATATTATAAATGTAAAAGTGAATTTTTTTGGTTGCATGATTGATTATTGATTATCGAATCCATAATCAACTGCCATCTCCTCCGGTACTTGGATGATCACCAGCTACTCAATGACCGACAATATGGTTTTCGCCGGGGTCGCTGAGCTGGTGATCTGCTCGCCTTTCTAACACACCTCGGAATCCTAGGGCTTCGACATATCTAGCGAAGTCCATTTTCGGGCCACTTAGAGGGTAAGGTAAAATTGGCCTCAAAGAAGCTCGGTGTGCTGAACAGATAGAAGCAGTATTTCACTCCGGCCCACCGCCTTCAGCTTTATAAGGCGCAAGTCCGGCCGCATATGGAAAACTGTTGTCATCTTTATTCATTGGCACCTCAGTACCAGCTTCTCCCTCTAGACCGCACCTCTAGACGCACAGAGCGACTCAAATCGTCGATAGCCCAAACATCTCCGATCGGCTCGGTTCCTTGGCGTTACGTAAAGATGTGTTCTCTATCGCATATATCATGGAGAGGCCGCAACTTTCCGCCATCGTTCCACACGGCAAAATTTTCATCCCCATCACACGGATAGTTAGCGCTCAACTACTGTGCGCTTTTCGAGACACTTTTTGCCTAGCACAAATAGTCTTTGGAACGGGTTATCGTCTGTGGTATTTCCGAACTGTTACGACCTTCAAACCTTCAAAAAAAGAGCGTATTCCTTCCTAAAAGGCCGGCAACGCGTTTGTGGCTCTTGAGTTACATCCGTTCATTGGCGGCGATAGTCACTTTCCATCAGGCAACCCGTCTGCTCGTCTGCTTTCGTTTATAAAAAAAAAAACTTGGGTTAGCTCGACCGGAGCGATTCCACGGCCTCGCAGAAAAATGGTGTTAACAATTCTTTCTTTGTTAGGGAGATTACCCAAAGCCCAAAACCAATCCGCCATTCTCGGGGGGATCTGTAGGCCAATTCTCGTAATAAATTCCGGTCTCAATTGAGTTCCGATCAACTTTCGATCTCACAACTGTGATAAAAGGTATTTTCGTAGTAAAATAGTAAAGTATTACTAAACCTAACAATTATCGATTAAATTTTCGGTTACAATACGATATACCTAATCACATTACAGTTACAGTTCCGTCCGTGTGGTCACGGATTAAGAATACAGTGTCACCACCCCTATTCATCCCGTGGGCGTCGTAAGAGCCGACTAAGGGAGAAAACTACGCAGAACAACAGCACTGCAGAGAGAAGGAAAACTTGACACAAACCCTGTACCAACCCGTCTGGCCAGCGTGGTATAGTAGGTAACCTCCTTTCTAAGGAGAGGCCTATATCCAGCAGTGGACTATTAAAGGCTGTTGATGTGATGTGACATTACAGTTAACGTAGGATGTTTAATACTTTACTACCATCGAAAGTTGATCGGAACTGAATTCAGACCGAACTTTTGTTACGAGAATTGGTCTTCTCTACGCGTTTGTGTCTCTTGGCTTGCGTGCTCGTTTTGAACGACGTTCCTTATCGCGCGGTACACGCTCAGCGGATGGGAACGAAACCGAAAAATCTGTACCAAGACTTTTTTCCGACACTTGTTGCCATAGATGCAGCTTTATTATTTTTAATTTCTATTTTTATTTTCTCAGCTATTTAGGTGGTTCTACTGCATTAACGGGCCTCGACTAAGTAAATACTGCTTCTGGTGGGTGCATTACGTTGGTGTGTTGTCATCTAACTGCATTAATTTTCTCAAGATTCTACATGTGTTTAATATGGTGGCTTCATGTAATCTAAAATAAACTATTTCATGTCATTTTTAATTTCTTTACTTACTTTTGTACAGACATTCATTACATTTTTAAACGTTGTCATTTTTTTCATTTGTTACACTAGGCAAAAAAAATACATAATTACTTTTTAACTTCGGGTACCTTCGGGGACCAATATACCGGTGGTTATGGTCCCAAAGACAGGAACCTCCTCACTATTCAAACCGTGTCGAAGAGAACTGCCTTCTGCATCAGACCCTTGGTCCATCTGTCTAACGGGAGCCTTTCAATTCGTGAACAGATACGACGATCTTTATTATAATTAAGGTATTAAAAAATAATAATAATATTGTACCACATTCACACAACGCCATCTAGTCCCAAACTAAGCAGAGCTTGTACTATGGCTACTAGACAACTGATATAAATACATATATACTTTTTTTTGTAAATACATACTTATTATACATAGAAACACTCAGACCAAATCAAACATTAAATGTTCATGCACACAAATGTTTGACTTGAGCGGGAATCGAACCCGCGACCTTTGTAATAGCAGTCCGTTACACAAACCACTACGCCATTCGGTCGTAGTGGCCATTCGTTGAATCATCATCATCTCAGAAGTACTGGATATAGGCCATTTGAGACTATTTCAGAATGAATGCGTTTACTTCGTCTCTTCGTCTCTGGGCAATCGGCGTGAGTTTACGCATGTTGGTTTTCAGAACCTCAAATTTACCTAAACCAGGAAAAGTATATTTTGAAACGCCCTTTTTAAGTAAAATCTACTATTTATCAGCTACATAACGCTCCTAATAGAAATCCTGATTTTGTGAAAGTTTAAAACGTTCATTTGTAATCAACACTGCCATGACTCATTGCTTAGTACTAAAATTATGATTAATATTTAATCGGATAATTTAAATCTTCATTACCATTTTAATTGAATGTTTCATTAACTAGAATAGTTTTGGGAAATGTGTATATCAATACTGTTTATACTAAGTAAGTTTTATATTCTTTTCACTATTTTATATTCCTTTAAATGGTTACCACAATTCCATTCGCAATAGAAGGGCGAAAATGACTGTTTTATCGAGTGTGGTCCTAAACGCGCGTGCACGACCTTCAAGGAACTCCTAATTAGACAACATACACACACCCACCTCTCCTTTTCAACTGGCCACCATGATGCATGAGGGCTATACTCTGTACTGTCCACCCGACTACAATCAGTACGGTATAATAAGGCGCGTTATCGCCACATAGTTCGACATCAGCGAATTTTGACATCTTTCTCCCAGGAATACTGGGGCACCTCTAAAGTCCTCTAAGGGAAAATACTGATCACCGCCACCGTCGATACAACGTGGTACTTCCCTATAGCTTTACCATGGCCCTCTGAAAACGCCAGAAATGCACCATTTTCTGGGCAAAAAGAGCCTCTGCCCTTATCGGTGCACCAGACGAACCCTGAGAAGAGCCGTATCATGGCATTTTCTCATAAGAATCAGGCCCAGTTATTTTACGTAAGTACGAAGCACCAGAGATGGAATTACGACGAGGCCGTAGGGCCGTGGACGCGAATCTAACAAGTTTACAAGAGATCGCTGGTGTTATGAGACTAACCCCTCAAATACGCCCACTACTGTACTCCTGTACACCAGTATCAACAGCAACGCAGCCGTTAATGACAGTGTTCAGAATATCATAGGTATAAAAGATAACAATCAGCCCGGGAGGGAGATCTCACGAAAGGCTCACTCGTAACACATATTTCTCACGAGGCCCCCGAGAACATACCCCTGTACGAGGGGTACAGAGGTATGTTCCCGATTAATAGGAACACCCAAATACTCCGAAATATTTTATTACTAATTTCATTTCGTTCGTTCCGAAATTCATAATACCTAGGAATTAATAATAATGTTTATTATTAAAATACACGAAATTTATTTTGTATATAAATGTAAATGCGTTTTTTTTTGTATTCCGATATTTATAGTTCGAAGGATCAAATGCTCGAAGGGTTCTCGGTCCGAAAAACGACATTCCAAGTTTCAATACCTCGAATAAACTAATTTAATTGATAATTAAAATAATTTTATATAATTAATTAAATATTTATTAATAAATATAATATTATATACTTAAACAATTAAATTAATTTAAAAACTACTTTGTATTTAATATTTGTGTAGTAATTTTTTTGTGTTTTCTTCTTCCCGTTATATATCCCGGGTACCATCTACTGTTATTGAATTTTTTGAGATTAACGACAGATTTGCCTCTACGTAAGTACTTTATAAGTTTTAAAAAGACAAATTTATTTAAAAATTGTACACAAAAGGTGCCATTGCCCACAAAAAAAAAAGTATTTTACTGTCATCAATGCCCGACTTTTTCGTCTGCCACAATGGAGCTTAAACGTGAAAAATTGCGTGGTTTATTTTACGACTTTAAATGTTGTTTATCTGAAGGTTTGAGCTTAGAACGTTTAAAATCAGCTTTAGGTGAGTCTGCTCATGGACGACTCAGGCGCTCGAGGTCGCAGAACGACCTTCGTCCTCTCTAAGCCCAGGCCTGGCGGTAACAGGTGAGGCTATCTGTCACCCAAGCAAAAGCAGGCTGGGGTGGCGGCGAGACGAGTTACAGAGCGCGCACAACCTTTGGGCGCAGAAAGGGAACATCGGGGTTCCAACACAGGAAAGGGTCATCTATAAGCCGTAGATGACCCGAGGTACGTCAGGGTACTAGGACTGGCCTGGAGACGGTGTGCGGATTTTAGTCGGTTTGAGTACGACATAACCACCCCACTGGTGGCTGGTATCAGAGGGGAGTCCCGCACAGGAAAGAAAAGGTGAGTCTTCTCAAGCAATTACTTTTAAAGGGAGAAAACTAGCCTTGAAAATGATGACAGAAATGAACGCCCGCCAAAAGCAGTCACTGCTGAAAATGTGTAAACTACTGAAATGCTTGTGCGAGATAACTAACGAATTACATACAGGGACATAGAGAAAATCTTAGGCATCAATTCGGTTAGTGTTCACACCATATTACATGAACATCTTAGAATCAGGAAACTTTGTTGCAGTTGGATACTTCGTTTGCTCTCCAAAACGGAAAAAAGAAGCCCGTGTGAAATGGTACCGTGAGATTCGTCTACGTCTTGAAAATGGGAGGTCAAGACGTGTTCCTGAAATTAATTCCAGCGACGGGACATGGATATCAATATGACCCGAAAAGCAAGAAGCGTTCTTCGGTATGTGTGTCACCAGATGACCAGTTGCCAACAAATTTGCAAAGACCGGAGAACATTGGCAAAAAAATAGTGGCCAGTTTTCTTTCACGGAGTAGACATCTTGCAATATCAATGCCAGAGAATTGTAAGTCTGTTAACTCAGAATGGTACACTACAGTCGCATTGCGAAAAGTTTTCAAAGCTGTGCAGGAGAGATGACCAAAGACCGGGTTCCGGGGAATGATGCTGCACCACTACAATGCGTGTTCACACTTTTCCCTCAGAAGGGAGGCGTTTATTCTAGAACCGAGTATTGAAACCCTACGTCACGCACCTTACAGCCCCGGCTAAGCTCCTTATGACTTTAAAAGGCAAGTTTTTTTGAAGTCCCGAGGAAGCAGTAGCTACCTATGAATCAACCATTGTTGACCTGTTTGAAGACTGGAATAAGTGTTTCCAAGACTGGGTAAACCGATTGGAAATTTGCATAGGGAGTGATGGAGTGTAATTTGAAAATTTATAGAGTGACCTACGTATTGTTGGTGAATCATTTGGGTTTGGTTGCGAAAGACAATATTTTTATTAAGTAGTAAACAATCATAGTTTTAAATCTATGATTGTTTACTAATAAATTGAAGTTTTGGATTATCATTAAGTCGGACTTTTTGTTATTCGATCTATTGAAACTCGGTATGTTAAGCATAGTATTTCTAAAAGTTAGGAATACTGACATTTTTGAATTATAGATATAGAATGAATGATAAATCGGAGTTGTTATATTAGGAATTTTGAACCATTCCGAATTATAAAAACCGGTATTTTGAAATTCGTATTTGATACTGACGGAATAAAGTTTGTCGTATTTAAGTAGTGCCCACTCAATTTATAGGTCGTTGGGCATTTTTTGTCAGCCTTTCACATGCCCTTGGAATGCTCATTTCACTCCAAAGTACTTTAACAAACCTAATGTTAAGTAAGCATACAAACATTAATCGAACAGGCGAATACCCTAACCGTACTATACGGTTGGTATTGTTTTTTAGTACTCATCGAGTCATTAAATTTCAGACTTTTCTTACAAATATGCAGAATCACTTCCAAAATATTCTTATGAAGTCAATCAAACATTATTTGGAAACTTAGCATCCATGCAAGATCTGCTAAGGGACGCTAAATATACACTTGAATGGAATGGGACAGATAATCCGAATGATTTTGTGGATCCGGACTTAGATATTAACTTTAAAGGTGAAGTAAATTTTATGGAGCCAGATGAGTTTATAGTAAACGAAGGCAGCCAAGATCACGCAGATCAGATGTACAACAAATTATCAAAGGAAGTGAATGTAATAAAAAGAAGATTTCAGTTCTCCACTGTAGACCATGATGATCTCGAGCACGGATTTTATGGCATTGAAAAATGGAAAGAATATGTTATAAGACGAAATTTCCTACAGTTTCTCATTCATACAAGATACGAAGTTGGTAAAGCTTTACGGCAAAGGGAACCAATAAGAAGTGACAGACGATATCAGATAGGGTATCTCTTTAACAGGTTAAGGAGGATAAAAACTGAACAATTGAAACTGCTTTATTATTTACATAATAAAATGCGCCATAGAACCATACCGTGGGGTCACTGGTTTCGATATTACCATGTATATTTTGTCGCTGACCCATTTTTGAACCATTTGATGATATATGAAAAATTAACCGCGTTTGACGTCGATATAAAAGATACTATAAATTATATAAGGGAAATATACTCAAAGAAAGAAAGTTACGATTACGTTGAAATTCCACCCACTACAGAAACGCTATTGTGACCGTGTCTTCACCACAGATGACACCAGAGGGTGCTACTATTCCCAACCAAGAAACTGCAAATTTAATGACGAATTAACCTGATCCTGCAAAACTCCGTCAAAAATTTACTATATTCATTTAACGAGTTTTTGACAATGTTCTAGAATATATTAAATTTATAACATTAATAAATACCGACTTCATGGCGGTACCTAAACTATTTTAGTGTAGATTTTATTAATTCATTTCCATTCACCCTCCCTTAGGGACAATACAGAGATGCCCCAACTCCCTTTCCCATACTTTGGTGTAAATACATGAAAAATAACACGAAGATCCACTTAATATTTTAAGGTTTATTAAAAGGCGGGACAACCATGGCATAACGATCGAAGGAATCACAGAAGTCTGATGTAAAGCAATTCTTTCATTTCTTTTCAACTAGTGAATGTGGTGGCGGATGAAGAATACTTCGCCCGTATTTATCCAATGGGTAACGTAAGAGGCGATCAAGGGAGCTAACTACGCAGGAAAACGGCACTGAAAGGGAAGGAAAACTTAACACTAACCCTTTTTTTTACGTGTTGAAACCCCCTCGGGCCGTCACCCCACCGGGGTTTTGCGGCGGGGTGGTGTGTCGACGGGGTGATATGGCGGGGTGGCGGGGTGGTGTATTTTAAGATAAAAAAAACGGACCGACTAAAACCTCACGGTGTATTAACTCGTCTATCCAGTGACACTTGCTTGGCCACCCACATGGATTTTAATTTTGAAAACACCGAAAATTTGTCGCTAATTAGACGAAATTTGTCGCTAAATATCAGAATTATTCGGTCACTGTTTTAAAAGTTATAAGCGTTTATAAGTGGACCTGCTGGGGTCAGTCTCCCAAGCTTGGCCACACTTATATCTCAAAACCACGGCACCATGAGAAGATATGTTTTCTCCCATATTTACGTAGAAGAGTTTGCAAAAATTTTAAATTAATGTAAGTAGTTCTAGTTTTATTGGTCTGAAGTCCTTGCAAATGTCAGAGATAAAAAAATGAAAACCGGTCAGGTACGAGTCGAACTCGTGCGCCGAGGGTTCCATACCTACCCAGATTTTACGTAGATTTTTGCGTAGTACCAAAATTTATCTTAACTTCTTTTATTTTTTTGAATTATGCCTTTATTTGTGATGTAAGACGTTTCATTTTGCCAAATTTCGTGATTCTAGGTCAATGGGAACTACCATATAGGGTTTCGACCTAAAACCTATAGGATACTTCCCGTTGACCTAGAATTGACAATTTTGGTTAAAAGCAAGGTCTTACAGCACTAGTAAAGGGAAAATTCTGAAAAATAAAAGAAGATGAAAATAAGGGTAAATTTGGTACTTAAAGTTTTCACGAAAATCGAAATTCGCCCATATCTTTTTATCGTGTTGACTTAGGACCTTGATTTTTATACACCTAATAGCGTCCATAGTCCTTAATATCTGGTATACATTTCAACCTGCTAGGTCTACCCGTTCCTGAGAAAATCGGTGGGGACGGAAGTAGTTCTTAAAACTATAAAACCTAATTGAGACGCTTATAAACATAGTTGTAATATAGTACGCGCCAAACAACTCAGCACCAACGACGTTGGCTGCAAACCGAATGTTGCGCAGGTACATTCGCAAACATACGTACTGAGCATACAATATAGTATATGTTTGTGTGCATTATTAGGCTACAAACAAGTAGGTAGTAATAAAAATCAATTTAATTAATTCAGAATTGTATAATGTACTCGTCCGTGTAGTGACGGATTAAGAATACGGAATGTCACTACCCCAATTTATCCCGTGGGTGTCGTATGAGCCGACTAAGGGCGCAAAATAACGCAGGACACCAGCACTGCAAAAAGAAGGAAAACTTGACAGAAACCCTATACCAACCCGTCTGGCCAGCGTTGTATAGTAGGCCAAAACCTCCTTTCTAAGGAGAGGTCTTTGTCCAGTAGTGGACTATTAAAGGCTGTTGATGATGATGTTGATAATGTACTCGTGAAGTTTCAAACAAGTTAACTATACATCACGCTTGGTAACAACTCTGGACTAGTTCATACTTATATTATAAATGTGAAATTTAGTTTGTTTGTTTGCAACGCTTTCACACCTAAATCGAGTTCGAGTTCGACTGTGGAATAATCTACTGGAAGCAATTAGGCAAGCCAAATCACTGCAAAAATTTAAAAAGTGACTAAGTAGCTTTTTAAATCATTACTTGGCATGTATGTATTTATATATGTTGTATGTATTTCAATTTATTAGTTGTATGTATAATATACTTTAAACGTATATATTAGTAACCTTATGTTTATTGTTGTATTAGTACATCCCAGGCTACCCTAATTTTTTTGACAATATCCGTATAAAGGTTGTCTGTAAGAGATCGCCGTGAGCCTATTGTTATACCGAAATGTATTTAATATCTGTATATATAATACTTCAATGGTGTACAATAAAGAGATAAATAAATAAATCATTAAACTGATTCAAATATTCTTTTACCAATGGAAAGCTACATTATCAGCGAGTAACATACTTGTTACCGTGACCTTGTGGTACACGCGCTGGCAGCCACCTGCCCCCCCCCCCCCCCCTTCCGTCCCATGCGCAGTACTGGCCCCTCTGATACCTAAACTTGTGTTTTGCGACGCTACTCGCACGAACTTCAATGGCACAGAGGTAAATGGCGCGTACGCTTTTGTTATATGTTTATGCTCATTATTTTTTCGTGTCTGTATAATTATGTCCACTTACCTTCAGGGACTTGTCTGCTCTCTACCCCATATACCTAAAAGGCCAGTGGTCAGGGCATCAAACAACAGAAAAAAAAAGACATGATGAATATTCTTTTATTAACAGATTTAAAAAAAAACTTAAACAACAATTGTTTATTTTTTTATTTAAACAGTATTTACTTATAAGAACTTGTCATATTAAATTAATATTTCATGGAATAATATAACTATTCTAAAGGAAGAGTAACGAAGCATGATTACTTCTAAATTGCACTAAAAACTTCAAATTCAGCGCCAGTTCGACCAGAATAGAAGACATGGCTATAAAGAGCTGATATAAGCTTTTATATGTACTACATAAGGTTTAATTATATTCATTATAACCTTACACATCTCACACAAGGCCGTCTGATCCCAAACTAGGCAGAGCCTGTGCTATGGTAACCAGACTGCTGATAAACATACCTAAATATTCCTAAATACATACAAATCCTATACAAATTACACCCAAACACCGAACAAATGATCGTGTTCATCACACAATTATAGGTCCTGGGTCTGAATCGAACCCACGACCTCCGACTTAGCAGTCAGGGTCACTAACCACTGGACAAATAGGCCCGTCAAGTTTTTTACACATTTACTGACAACACAGACAGAGTCGGGCAACCTTTATTTTATACTTGCCCGCGACTTTGTTTGAAAAGAATTTGAAAACTGCCTGCACGGACCGGGCAAAATTTCGTCTCGTTTTCCTGAGAGAAAAAGTAGCCTTAGCTACTCCTTACAGCTGCCTGGTAGTAAAATATTAACAAAATCGGTCCATCCGTCTTGAAGATTACCCGGAACAAACTTACAGACAGACAACAAATATTTAAACTGGTTTTTAGGCGCAGGTATCGTGCAAATAACCGTGTGAGCATGAAAACCCTATTATTTTGACATTACAAACAGACACCTAAATTTTATTTATTTGTATAATATAACATCATCATTAAAAATAATTCCCTTCTTCCAATTCTATTTGGGTTTGACAAAGGTTTTGGCTAGTTTCCTTCGTGACGGAGTGTCTGCTTGACTTGGCTTGTGAATGTGGCTGTTTTCAGACAAGATAAAAACAGAAGGTAAATTTGGGTATAAAAAACGGATAGGTCAAGGACCTAGCATACTGATACCGCCCCACCCACGGTAAGTCGATTCAGGGGAACCTTGAAATCACTTGGTCCGAACTCTCCCCTAAGAAGGGCCGGTAAAATTAACCCCGAAAGCCGGCGGGATACTTATACAATATAAGTATCCGGCCGGCTTTCGTGGTAAATTTTACCGTCCCCACCCCATCACCAAGGAAGGTTACCCTTTTTGTTTTTTTGGGACGATCGAAAGTCATTGAAAGCGAGACTGCAGAAAATGTTGAATAGACCATGAGTATTGGGATAGGAACCTTCTTTGCCAGTTCTTGTCTGCGCACTGACAATACTGACGTTTGCCAGAACATGTGGTGTTGCCAGTGACCAGAAATGATAAACTCCCAATTATTCTTGTTTTCTTTTCTTTTCCTATTTAGATTATTTTTTTGTAAAAATTAAATGTTTGTGTGTGTAGTTGCCATAATAAATGCTTTCGTTCTTTCACACTTTAATACCTTTTACGACAGTTGTGAGATCGAAAGTTGATCGAAAATGAATTCTTACCGAATTTTTATTGCGAGAATTAGCCTTCAGGGGTACATTTCATCTATATGTACGTATATAAATATGAAAATCATTATTAAACATACAAACTCTTAAATAAATTTGTAATTTTAATTTGCTATTCTTACTGGCAACATTATTAATTATTTTTTTACATATTGGTTGTATAAAATACTGTTTGCTCAATGAAGAAAGTTTAAAAGAAAAATTGTTAAATAATATTATATTATTTTTTATGTCATTATTAATATAATATAATTATTGAGTACTATTAGATTTGACATAATAATAACAATATTAATAACAAGAATAAAATGGCGACTACTGTCGCATGTCCTCAATACAAAATTATAGAAGTTTATAACAGTTCACAGGGTATTTATATAAAAAAATGAAAAAATTTGTCCGTCTGTCTGTTTGTTACGACTAATCTACGGAACTGGTAGATCGATTTTCATGGGAATTTCAACATAGGCGACCGTTAAGCAAATCAATAATGAATGATGATTAATGAATCCATATATGTAATTATTTACGATTTAAGTGTTTACATATCACAATAAAAAAAAATGTTGCACAGAAAAATATGGAATCTAATCTCAGTTGTAATCGTAATTGTTAAGTTAGCGTCAATGTAGCTTAGTTTTATTATTACTACGCCCTTAGAGTTATCACATTTAGTAATGGCCTAAAATTACACATGCTATATTAAAAAGGCCAATTATTGGCTTAATGGTCATTTATACAAAAAATCTACAAACAACACGCAAAATATCATCAATGTAACATTTCCTTGAAATAGCAGAGACAAGATAAAAACAAGAATTCACAGACTACCAAATCACTGAATGAATTAAATAAAATTAAAATAAACATTAAAAATAAAGTTATAACAATAAAATTAACTATAACAAAATCATATAAATTAAAATTACATACATTCTTGTTCATAAACTAACAGTTTTTTTTTTGTGTTTTAGGTTCATAGATAACACACTCAATACAAACATCTAGATTTATTAAATATTAAAAAGTAATTTCCACTATAATGTTCGAATAGTAATCGTTTTGACGAAAATCTCTTTCGACAAGAATGACACGAACATAAGTTTATATAAATTACGCATAAATTTATTTATTAAAAAAAAATTGTGTGAACGTGTATCGCTATAATTGTTTATGGTTATTTATTAATTTGTGTAAATATAAAGCAATGTAAAGGTAAAAAATACCTTATACACTTGATATTTATTTAATCAATTAAAAAAAATATCATTATGTACTATAGTTGTAAAAAGATGTCCAATCAAATTATTTATACATCATGTACTTTGGTACATTGGCGGACTTAATGCCCTCACCTTTGGGTGATGCAGAGAAAACAGGAAGTAGGTGGATAATATCAAACGTACATAAACCTATCATATACTAGAATCCATACACATTGTACATACGTACATACAATTCCTAAATACATATAAACTTACATAAATACATACATACGTAAACAAATACCATTAATAATAGTAGATGACAATCATACGTCAGTTGTTTTACAAGATTATTCTGATGATTATACGATTATCAGTTCTACCACAATACAATAAGGTTTATATTTAATTTAAATTGTAGCAATCATTTCGCATTTTGTGGAATTTATTATTTATTTACTGGAAAATCAAGTGTCAAATTGTCTGTGTTATGAATTAATTCGTACATAGCGTTATACGATCACACATTTTTATAAATAATATATTACTTGACTATTTTTGGGATATGTCGGTAATACGGCATAAAAACGTGCGAGCTTTACATTAATCGCAAATGATGTCTAGACATCTAACACCTCACTTGGGATGGAATAAAATCACAATCACATTTTAAATAATCATTGCGTCACACCTGTGAGTGTTTTACAAAACCACTGCTACTTAATTATTATTATTACGCTAGCGCAAGACTCGCGAAAAATCTAAATAAAAAAAAAAGAAATTTGATTGATTTTAATGCCACTTATCTAAATCACAATCACATGTGAAATCACTGTGACTAAGCCCAATCATTTCATCAAGCAATATGATTTAAAAGTAGCAATAATTTCCATCTGTACATCTCACCTAAAATTTGACAGAGCACTCTAGCATCGCGCGCTCTCATTGGTGACATCATCTCTCTCTCAATGACATCATTGACATGTCAAAAGTCACATGTCAAAAGTTATGTTGTATTAAATAGGTACATGTACAGTTATATCTATTACAAGAAAATAAACACTATTGACTAATTATGTTCACGATATGATATTATTTGTTTATATGTATAAAATTTTTACTAAACTACAGGATACAGATGGCGGATAACACTAGGAAGTATTAAAAAGCGATTTTTATTTGACGTTTTGAGTTTTGATACTCTTATGGAGGATAGAGGCAAGGAGCACCGTCTTTAGGTATGAAAAGTGTCCGTAAAAACGTGTCTAATAAGAGTGGCGCTGCAGTAGCCTAGGATAAATTAATTATTTATTAATAAATAATAATTAAACACTGTGTAATAGTCACACACACTGCAAAAATTGTCTATGAGTTTTACTGACAATAAATAAAATAACTTTCAGACAGTAAAAGTATTTTAATATTTGAACTCGGCACAGTTCAATTCATGTTCATATCGTAGTATCTGAATACAGGGGCGACCTATATTTTCAGTATACAGCTAGATACTTTTACAACTTTCCTCCCATATGAGATGGTTCTCCTTGCCTCTACACTTCATAAATACTCTACACCAAAAACTGCTCATTGTCAGTGTTGCCAACTTAGCGCTTTAAAAAATAGTATTCTGAATAAAAACTTACAAAATAAATAATAGGTCAAAATTTATTTTTAATATTTTCCATTCTTGTCGAAGTATCTGTAGGAAGTACGAAGGCGTACGGAAGTACGAAGTTCGAAGGCATCGTAAAATAATCTCTTCAGTTAGTTGACTCTTAAGCACATCTATGCAAGTACCACAGAGTCCTGGAAGATGGATATTAGAAACGGAAGCAGGGTATAGGAACTTCTTTTTTATTTGTGGTTAAACTTATAATTAATTAAATGTATGGTATATAAGTCAAAACATAACAAATTATAAATTATTTCTTAAATTTGCAGTTTAAAGAGCTTGAAACATCACTTACATTTACACATTATAATTATACATATTACACTAAACTTAATATCCAGTTACTGATAAACTTGTCTATGCTTCAAAATAATAATGCCAATAATTGACTCATCCACGCTCTACAGTCTATGGAAAGAAGCGTAACGCTACAACTATTCACAAATAAATAAATTATACTAGGTTTTCAATAAATAGCAACTGCAAAAGTTAATTATATTTTTAGACTAAGGACTATCTATATACTTAGACAAAGTCAAACAAAAAAATAATCAGTTTTCGTACAATACCCGGACAAAGACTGTTGTGGCAAAGTTTGGCAAAACTTTTTAAAATGGAATAACTATATTTGAAAGTTGTTTGACACTTTGTCGTTTTGGCCAGGACTTATGCAAATTGCATTAGCCGTGGCCAAAACGACTAAGTGAAATATTTTACTTCCTCAAGTAATTTTTTTTTAATGTAATAGAAATCTTTTATTTTCTATAATAATCGTTCTGAGACTTATTAATTATGTGAGTGTTGAGCTCAACATCTCGACTTTTGTCGGTTTTATAAATACCCCGTCCCGTAACACACGGGAAAAAAGATATGTATGTCCCCAATAACTTCAAATTGATAAAGTTAGATATGAATTATGAGAATTATTTACTGTAATTTAATTTTTAATGTGTAGTTTCATTGTATGAGAGGAACCTAACTAGTGTGTGTCTGTCGTGTGGTGCGTGTTATTAAAATATAAAATAAATTTTTAACTGTTAGTTTTTTCTATATATTTAACTGTATCAAAACGGTAACAGCATTGTTAACTATAAGGTTCCCATTGTTTTCTGTGTTCTAGTGTTTTTCAAGTTCGTAATCTTACGCAAAATATATTTAAATTCCCACTTTTACACAATTATATTATATTCAAACGCTCAATGGATTTATTTTGCTTACTTTTATGTATGTTTTCTCAGTAAGTGAATTTTGAAAATTCTTTTGAGGAACAAAGATTCTTAAACCAGACATATAGTATAAAGTACTAAAACTGTTTTTCCGTTAAAGAAGTCTAGTCCGGGTATTATAAGAGTCATAGCGAACCATTCTAAAGCTTGTATTTTAATGATTCGAAAGTGAAAAAATGTCGAAATAGGTATCGGGATTTTTTCTTGATACTTTGATTTAGTCTAACACCAACTTTAATGGAACTGGTAATCAAAAGTTACCAGTTATCTTTTTTTCTTTTATTTTTTTTCTTTTTGACAAAAGTATACCGTAGGTATTCCTTTATATAATCACCTTGACAGTCACTATTCACTACATAAGTATACGAAATACTAAAATTTTCTACAATCTACACTCACATTCCCGAATCTGCAGTCTCAAAAATTCTTTTCATCTGAAGAAACCGACTTTATACCAAAAAAAGAACATCTAAAAGTAACCTTTAATTAAGCACACAATTCATCTTTTAGTACCTTATTAAAATAAAATAAATTAAATAGTCATGAATCGACTTACGGCGATAAATCAACTTAATGAATGTAATGGGATTTTTTATACAATATCAGTATTTAGTACTGCTTATTTGATAGCAAGTTAAAACTGGTAGCCAAGGAGTAATAATCTAATAATCAGTAATAAACCTCATGATAGAACTCCTTCTTTTTTCTATCTTCTTTTAATTCTACTTCTGAGTATTGTGTGCTGCTGCTGATTGAACAGTTGCTATCCCTATAGCGAATCACTCCCTCTATCTAATTCAAAACCTATTGAAATCGGTCAAGCTTTTTAAATCAACAAAGATTCAAACAAAACTATTTTGCCACTGTAAAAGAAACAAAATTCGTGACACTAGCAGTTGTTCTCTAAAATTGATAATATGCAAATGCACATAATTAGTTCAGAGGTCTAATTCATAAAGAAAAACATCAAAAGGTTAAGTTATCAGACTGATAGAAAGATGGCGATACAAAAAAAAAACACATTACAACAGACATTCTCTCTGATTTCTTCTTCTTCTCCCATTTTTCTGAGATAGTCTCTTAGGGTACTTGACTGCAGACCGTCGGGATGTGGTGTGGTGACCCTCACTGTGCCTTTGGCTTCTGGTGTGTCGCGTCTGATGAAAATATGAATGAGTATTCAGCTTTCTTCTCCGCAAACGAAATGAATTCATCTGAAATATAAATTGAATGGATTACTTTAAAATCTTTTTTTATTAAAAGGTATTTCACATCATCACATCAACAGCCTTAAATAGTCCACTGCTGGACATAGGTCTCTCCTTAGAAAGAAGGTTTTGGCCTACTATACCACGCTGGCCAGACGGGTTGGTATAGGGTTTGTGTCAAGTTTTCCTTCTTTGCAGTGCTGGTGTCCTGCGTGGTTTTGTGCCCTGAGTCGGCTCTTACGACACCCACGGGATGAATTGGGGTAGTGACATTCCGTTTTCTTAATCCGTCACTACACGGACTAAGGTATTTAATTTAACTATTCTTTACTAACCGTTCATCCCTTATTCGAAGAAAATTTGAAACTACCCCTATACCAACCCATCTGGCCAGCGTGGTATAGTAGGCCAAAACCTTATCTCTAAGGAGAGGCCTATGTCCAGCAGTAGACTAGTAAAGGCTATTGATGTGATGTGATTCCTTATTTTACTTATGGACATTTACAATTTAAGAGACACCATATGCCTTTGAATATAGCATAACACATGATGTTTGCCATTGTTCTCCATAACTTTTACTGTGTACATCCTATTGAATAGATCTATGGCCTTGTATAAATCGCTATCTAGATTTTCCACGGCTCCTAAGATACTGGTTTCTTACCTAGTTTTTAGGAGTCTATCGTACCTGCCCGGTATTTGTGATCATATTACCACTTAAGCTCTTTTATACCCGATCGTATAATGTACTGTGCTTAAGCTAAGTTTAAATGTAAGAATTGAATTAAATACAGATTATTATTTATAAAAATACAAATAAATAAAATTGAAGTGTCTCTTTGTAATGTCAAAATAATAGGGTTTTTTTCATACTCACACGGTTATTTACACGATACATATACCTAAAAAACAGTTTTTCTTGTCTGTCTGTTTGTTCAAAGTAATCTTCAGATTTTGATAAAACCAGGTAGCTGTCTATATAAGAAGTAACTTAGGCTATTTTTCTCTCAGAAAAATCCTATAAAATTTGGCCCTATCCGGGAATCGAACCCACTAAGGCAGCGTTTTTTAAATTCCACGTAAACGAGGGCAGCGGCTAATAAGTTTTCTTTTTTAAACTAGTGGTAAAATGGGTTATGTTATATTGGTATAAGTGTTCTCAAATACACGTCCATGTGCTCTGATTAGGTCAATGTTTGATTAAAATACGATCATTAGGGAACTAGTTAATTCTATTAATGATCTATATTATATAGTCTCAAAATACAGTTGTAAAATTGTATATTAGATACGTTTAAAATATTCGTTTTATTTACAACTTAATAAAGAAATTACTATAGGGTTTATAAAAATAGTACCAGGAATTAGTCACTAAACTACTATATGTATAGGTGTAGTATATGACAGATTTGAATATGTGTATATATTATTCGTCCGTGTGGTGACGGATTAAGAATACAGAGTCACCACCCCTATTCATCCCGTGGGTGTCGTAAGAGGCAACTAAGGGAGTAAACTACGCAGGACAACAGCACTGCAAAGAGAAGGAAAACTTGACACAAACCGTATACCAACCCGTCTGGCCAGCGTGGTATAGTAGGCCAAAAACCTCCTTACTAAGGAGAGGCCTATGTCCAGCAGTGGACTATTAAAGGCTGTTGATGTGATGTGTGATGTATATATTATATGATTCTGTACAATGTATACATACAATATTAAATGTTTAAATCAACCGTAACTAAAATGCACCTACTTCCTGTTTTCTCTGCACCACCTAATGGTTGACCGGTAGAGAATGCCTTAGGCATTAAGTCCGCTAATGCATTAAATGCGCATGATGTGTACATAAATAAATTACGCAGGAAGGAAAACTCGACACAAACTCTATACCGACCCGTTTGGCCAGCGTTGTATAGTAGACCAAAACCTAAGGAGAGGCCTATGTCTATCAGAGGAGTGTTAAAGGATGATGTGGTGGTACGCACCGTAGGTGAGGTGTCCCCTGTCGTGCAGGTCGGCGGCGCGGAAGGCGGCGAGCGCGTCTGTGCGCGCCAGGCCGAGGCAGCGCGGCGCCAGCTCCGCGAACTGCGCACAGCTCACCCGCCGCGCCGCACCGCCCCACACCTGACCACACACAATATCTTCAATTACACTTTCACGACTTAAAGTTATTCTTAAAAATGTGTAATAATAATATAACAAACACATCTCATACACGGCCGTCGGATCCCAAACTAAGCAGAGCCTGTGCTATGGTAACCAAACTGATGATAAACATACTTTTTAAATACATACATAGATAATACACACCCAGACACAGAACAAATGACCGTACTCAACACACGATATGACTAAATCTTTATGCATGATTTGATGACTAGATATTTTTTTTATAATTTTAATTTGGATGTAAAATAATTATGATTTGTAAACATCGGATATATTACCTACGATCTTCTCAAATCAAATAAAAAAATTAAGATGGTACTCTATAAACAAAAATTGAGGCCAAATAAAACTACGCCTTGCCGTGTACATACACAATTACACGCACACGCATACACTGAAACTACGTCATGTCAGCCAAAACGTCATCAAAACTGTCAACAATATTTACAAACAAAAATTCCGAATTGTGTTGTGAAAGGGTGTAAACTACAAATGAAAAATAGTAGGATAAAATCGAATTTCACACATAAGTAAACGTAGAAACCAATGTTTTCAATAAAAATCATGACAGCCTTCGTTCTGCGCAAAGTGCCATCTTCAATTTTTATTTGATCTGAAAAACATCTTACGGTCAACTCTAGGAACGGATCCTTTTTAAAAACAATTACAAAGAAACGTAACAAAACATGTTACTCATAAAAAAACCTAATAAAATAAGTGACTTAGAGCCAATAATTTAGATAGGTACTATTAAATTCAGAAAAAAATACTTAGTATAACGCATATAAATAATGCGTGATGAGAAGGATATGGGAGCTTCATTAGTGAAATTCATGTCAATATTTTTAAAATGTTGTTTTACAATCTAGCTTTCATAGTACAAGCTCTGCTTAGTTTGAAACTAGATGGCGTTGCGTGTCAGATGTCCGAAATGTCCGAAAAATGTTACCTTGAACGCGTACGATAATAATTGTGACAGAGGCGCGTTCTGCAATGAAAGGAACGCAGCACACAGAAGATAATCTGGGAAGTACACCAGACCACTGGACCTCTGAAATATACAAAAATAATTAAACTATTTTACAAGAAGTAATGAGTAATACAATTAAATATCTTTAACATAATAAACTTTTCAAGAAAATCCGACTTTAATTTATTCGCCTATATTATGATACGACGGGTTGCTTTAATGTTTATAGGTTAGATTTTTTTCTTAAAATTCAAAAACCTAATGGATGATTCATAACAAAAAACAGCTTAAATATTAAATTTCTTCCTTTTTTGAAGTCGCATAAAAAATGTATTCAGTTTTAAATACAAAGATTTCTAATTTAAATTAAATACAAGAAACCTTTATCTAACCGAACAGATAAAGAAAACCACTGCATTCAACAACAGTTTAACAGTCCACTGCTGAACATACGCTTCCTTAGAAAGGAGGTTTTGGCCTACTATACCAAGCTGGCCAGACGGTTTGGTATAGGGTTTGTTTTAAGTTTTCCTTTCCTTAGCAGTTTTGTTGTTCTACGTAGATTGCTGCCTTAAACGTCTATTACGACACCTACGGGATGAATAGAGGTGGTGACATTCCGTATTCTTAATCGGTCACCACACGGAAAACCAAAGCATTGTACAATAAAAATAAATGCTAAATATTCTACACCTCAAAGCGACTAGCACAGAGTATACAAATAAGCATATATTCCTCTCGGACACAGGTAGACACGCAAACGGCCAACTATACCTTTACGAATATGTCAAACAGTCTCTGAGAACGCGTGTCCAGAGGCACGCCGAGGCGGCGCGTGAACTCTTCTGCGTTGACCCACTGCGTCGGGGGGCCCCCGCCCCCTCCACCAAGCGTCCCCGTCGCCAGATGCAGTTCGATCTGAGAGCGGGCCAGACTGTAAACATAATATGTTAGGATTAAACCTCGATTACGCACCTGTAAATCTTTAATAATTATATGGCCACAACCACATACCCAAGTTGATTTCTGATATCGTTCACTTCTCTCGACAAAGTACCTCCAGGTATCCCCAGTTGTTTAGCGCGAGCTATGAGCCGGCAATCATCGTACGTGTAATCCAATACGGGAATGCCCAGAGCTCTGTAACAGAATTCAGACCCTGCTTTACACATGTACATTTAGTATTTTACACACTGATATAATAAAAGTAGGATTATTTTCTATTAACACGCTTGTACTCGTAAGTAACTATTAGATCTTGAAAAACGCAGTTTTAGTCCACTTCTATTGTCGCATCTAAATGAAATGTATTTTATGTACTTTAATGTAGACTCTAAAGTCATAGACACACAATAGCAACAATCTCTGTTTTGTCAAATAGTAAGTAAATAAATTTAATAAAAAATAAACTTCTACAAAATCTATGCCTGTGCCGATCTACAACCGCTCGTTTCCAAGGGGTTGAGCCTTATGAGAAGAAAGGGCAAACAAACTCATGGCCACTCTTTTGCAATTTACAGATAGATAGAATGTCATCATTAAATATACCACAACATTGTTTTGATGTGTGAAAGTATTTCCGTTATTTAAGACTAAAAGGTTAAAAGACAATGCAGAGGAAACAAGATTGAGAAAAACATCGAATAAAAGAGGAAATGAAGTGAAATATAAAGAATAGAAAAAATATATAATAAAAACACATTAGCCTACACCACGAGTTTACTTAAGAAATTGCCTGCGCTAATTAATCCCAAGCATTTTTGTCTTCTATGTAATCCATAATTGAGTAATAGGCTTTCTGACACAATCCACGTTTTATTGCGGATTTAATTTTTTTAATTTTTAAGTCTTGAATCTTATTTGGGATTTTATCATAAAATCGGACACATTGACCTCGAAAACACTTGTTTGTCTTTTCTTAAGGCTCCCCTTGAGGCGGGTACTACAAGTTTATTCGTATTTTTGGTATTTATAGAATGTACATCACTTCTCAAAAAGCTATCTTTGTTTATTATTGCCTAAATTATAAAGTGCTCGAATCGCTGTTTTTTGCCGTACAAAAATAGTTTGAATGTCGGCAGCATTCCCCCACAGTAGAACACCGTATGTTAAGAAAATAATTGAAGTAAACAAGTCGTGCTGTATCAGCATCAGTCAACTCTTGAATTTTTCTTACTGCGTATGATGCTGAGCTGAGTCTACTCGATAATTTATCAATATGTGAGCCCCACTGTAGCTTAGAAGCTAGTGTTATACCTAAAAATGTCGTAGTGTCCACAAGGTTTAGACCTTGTCGACTCTCTCTCTCTCGACCTCTATGACCCAACATCCTTAATCATCACAGTAGTTTTTACTGGCTTGACGTTTGGCATAGTGAAACGTATAGTATTAGTTTTTTGTTCATTTAAAAGCAAATTGTTGACGTCAAACCAATGAACCACTTTCGAAATGGCGCTGTTTACGTCTGTGAAATTAGTAAGTGTCCGTTTTATTCTAAATAATGGTGATGTATCATCTGCAAACAACACAATCTGGAGATTGTACTTGTATATATAGGTAAATGCAGATTCGATAATAATATTATAATTTAACATTTAGGAACTCTTCAGACACTACTATAAGAAAATCCCTCAAATTTTAACTTGACTAAGTGACAATATTCTGATGGTGGATCCAAGAGATGCATAGTGCACTAATCACTTCGCCGTTATGAGCATATCGGAAGACGAGACGAAGATCATGTGGTTCGCACTGAATTAAACCTACCAGAATAAAAGTGAGAGAGAGGCCACCCGCCGTTGATCTGGTAGACTTCCATTGCTTGAGACACCAAGAAAGCCCAGTTGCTCAAAACGATAGCCCAAGATTGCCTGGCTTGGCGCAGGAAATGAGGAGACCCGATCGAAATAAAGGGATAAAGAGAGGAAGAAGTAATTCCTTCTTCATTTACGAATATGTATATTATATACTTGTATATCATCATCATCAACAGCCTTTAACAGTCCACTGCTGGACATAGGCCTCTCCTTAGAAAGGAGGTTTTGGCCTACTACTGGCCAGACGGGTTGTTTAGGGTTTGTTTCAAGTTTTCCTTCTCTTTGCAGTGCTGTTGTCCTGCTCAATTTGCTCCCTTAGTCATCTCTTACGACACCCATGGGATGAACAGGGGTGATGACACTCCGTATTCTTAATCCGTGACCACACGGATGGATACTTGTAAATAAAATAAGATATTTTCTCACACACGGTAGCCACGACAGTCTGGTTGTAAATTTGGCAGAACCCGTGCAAGGGTATCCAGACTGCTGATAAATATACTTATATGAAAACTCACTTGGCCATGACATCCCGAACGTTCCTGGCATAGAGCTTCGGGTCCCGTTTCTCCTCTTCGCTGGGGTAGTACACCGGCAGGAATTCAATTTCGCAGGAGCTGTGCACCTGCGTCAAGGTTAGCCATAACAGCTTTAAACTGAAAATAATAGAGGCAATATTAATGCAGTTTGTTCATATTAGAGTCACATGGATTGATTTGATTTTTAAAGATAACTCCGCTTTAATAATAATAATAAGTGCACACATCCTACACTGGTCCGGTCCGGTCCTGGTCCCAAACTAGGCAGATCCTGTACTGTGGTAACCAGACTGCTGATTAATAAACTTAAATATTTTAGAATACATACATATTATAGATAAATTACACCCAGACACAGAACAAATGACCGTGCTTATCACACAATATTTGTTATAGATGGGAATCGAACCCACAACACAAAGTTTTGTCCTTAGCGCAGTTGGAAATCACAATATAAAATATTATTTTTAGACAAGCAAGTTCTGGGTCCAAAAACCCTTCCCCCCATAAATAGAGGGAAGGGTTTTTGGGCTCCAGTAGCATCACTTACTACGGTGAACAACGACACAATCGCTTAATACCGGGGTTAACTGTGAGGCCGTACTTAATATACCTACTGCATTCTTTTTTTACTCTTCCAAGAGTTAAAACTTTAAAACCAAGTACAAAAATGATAGATACTCACGCGCCAGGCCCTTCCCACGTCCAAGTGACTGTATCCCTTGCATTCGGGTACCTGATGGTGACCGGCTGTATGGGTACTCCTGGGTAAAAACCGCCTGGCTTGAAGGTTATCAAGCACGAGCGGTTTGTGCAGGTGCCTTCGGGAAATATGAGCACCTGGAATAGGAGTAATAGATACAGAAAACAGAGAAAAGAAAATCTCTATATATAAAATGTATAGTTTGTTTGTTTATAATCGCTAAACTCTTAAAGTTCTTTACTGATCGTTTTGCCTTGCCTTGCGTCTGCCTTTGCCCAGCAGTGGACTATTAAAGGTTTTGTTAATGATGATAATGAAATAAATTCCTTAAAGTTCTTTCGCTTCTTATTTTAATTTATTTCCCATTTTCGGCTCTTTTAAAGTCGGACACTGTTTGAGCCACACACTGTAACTATTCATCATCATGAACAGCCTTTAATAGTCCATAGGTCATATGCCTCTCCTTAGAAAGGAGGTTTTGGTCCTTTTTTGCCCGCTATCCATACTTCTAAGTATATAATAAATAATAATAATAATATTCTACCACATACACACAACGCCATCTAGTCCCAAACTAAGCAGAGCTTGTACTATGGGTACTAGACAACTGATATAAATACATATATACTTTTTTTTTTTGTAAATACATACCTACAAGTATTATACATAGAAACACCCAGACCCAATCAAACATCAAATGTTCATGCACACAAATGTTTGACTTGAGCGGGAATCGAACCCGCGACCTTTGGAATAGCAGTCCGTTACACAAACCACTACGCCATCCGGTCGTCATATATTATATAAAATGTGAAAGCGAGTTTGTTTATTTGTTTGTTACGCTTTCACGCCTAAACCAATAGACCGATTTTAAATTATATCATCAATGGAAAGCTAAATTAACAGCTAGTAGCATAGGCTACTTTTTACCGCGATAACAAAAAGGCAGGCGGAGCCGAAGACAAAAGCCATACTTATATATTCTTAAATACATACAAATAATCGTGCTCATCACACAATATAATATTATCCTGGGTGGGACCGAACCCACGACCTCCGACTTAACAGTCAGGTTCACAAACCACCGAACCAACAGGCCCATCGAGTTTATGTGAGTTGGACCATAATTATAGTCGGCTGGCTATTCCTTAGGGGCTTAGGTTATAAAGGCGTGAGTAAGAAATTCTTTTCTTTTTTTTTCTTTTTTAAAAAGACAACTCCCGCATTAGGAATAAATCCTGTGTCGCGGGGGACTTTACAAACATACATGAAACGGACACAAAGAACACCCAGACTCAGAACAACAATTTGTGGATCACACAAAGTGTCGTCCCATGTGGGGTTTGAACCCACAACACTCGGCGTGGTAGGAAGCGGCGTGGCGACCGCTTAAACCACTACGCCATCCGTGCAGTCGAATTGCCGATTTGTACTGAAAATTTGAAACTCGTTTTTCGCTAATATCAATAATAATAGGTAATATGTATCATTTAAAAAAAGTTTCACACGAAAATCTCACACCATGAAGGTTTTATGTCAATTTAAAGTAGCTATCTATTACTATACAACGGCAATTTCATACTTAAATTAAAAGTAATTAATAATAAAAATCTTAAACAATAAACTATTACGTTATCATTTTAAAATGGAAAGTTCTCGTATTGCGTCGATTCACACAACAGTTACAATTTTGTGGGGTCAAGATGCTGATGAAACAACTGCGATGCAAGGAACTTGCGCAGGTTATATGGCACGTGAAAAGGACTAAACGGGTCCATTGATACGAGCATGTCCCAGCGAGAGCCACTCGCGTAGGTAATTTAAAATTAATTTGATTTCATTTTAAATCCATAAGAATTCTCATGTTTCGAGGCATTTTATTATTACTTACTTCGACTACTACACCATATAAAAGCACCCTGGTACTAAACTGTTTCAAATCTGAAACTAGCAAGACCCATACATGTACCACCTACCCACGCGAGCAGCATATAAATTATATCGACCAGCGAGTAACTCGTGCATCCTACTAACGCAAATAACCCGCGTCCAACCACTCCCACCCCCCACTCCAACCACTTGCACCGTGTAGGAGCACCAGCCCTAAATATCTAAGGAAATGATTTATGTTATATAACCGGAGACAAATGTCTGTTTGCTTTCTGCATAGGGTATCAAACGGTCAGTTAAGATGTAACGATTTTCTCGGAAGGATTTCATTATCCGTTCCTCATCACTTTCCAGACAACCAATACTTAATCTTTTTTATACACCAGTAGGCAGAACAAATCATGGCTTGCAATCACCTTTGACACGAATTCGCTGCAATTACAATAGTAAAGTTATCGAAAATAATTATCTCGACATTTTCCACGTCCGCTTAACCAGTTTAAAATCAAAGTTATTGCCTAGTTGTAGTAGTGTGTTGAAACATTTAAATTATTTTTCTTTAGTATATTTAGTTTATTCTTTATATTTAGTAATCATTACATTTTTATTCCCAATTCATCCCGTGGGTGTCGTAAGAGCCGACTAAGGGAGCAAACTAAGCAGGACAACAGCACTGCAAAGAGAAGAAAAACTTGAAACAAACCCTATACCAACCCGTCTGGCCAGCGTGGTATAGTAGGCCAAAACCTCTTTTCTAAGGAGAGGCCTATGTCCAGCAGTGGACTAGTATAGGCTGTTGATGATGATGATGACATTTTTATTATTACTGCTATTTTTTCTAATTATTTTTAAACAAAATTTCTAAAAACTGTTCCATTAGATCCACATTTTATCTTACTGTACTGTTGTTATGAATGTTATGTACACCGTTATTGTTGTATATATATCAGAATAATTACCAACAACTGAATGCAACGTAAATTGTATAATATATGCGAAAAGAATTGCTTAACAGTTTTCTGTGAGGCCGTGATATCATCATCGAATTAAGAATACGGAGTGACACCACCCCTGTTCATCCCGTAGGTGTCGTATACTCGTAAGTCGACTAAGAGAGCTAACTACGAATGACAAGCGTACCGCAAAGAGAAAGAAAACTTGAAACAAACCCTGTATAGTAGGCCAAAACCTCAAGAGAGGCCTATGTCCAGCAGTGGACTATCGAAGGTTGTTGATGATGATGACGTGGTATCATTCCGATCGAGCCGACCCTTCTGCCGAAGCATAACTCTCCCACGGAGAACAGCCGAAGTAACAAAATAATTTACAGTTATTGTATGCACACAACTCGTGGTAACCACACACCGAAACGGTTGCGTACCTGATGTAAATCATGTTGTCGAAAAAATCTTCTGATAATATCTCGTAGAGCCTTTTTATGAAACTAAGTTGGGGTCGGATTCAGATGAACTTCGATTTTTTACGTGGAGTGACTGCCATCGGATCTCCTCAACCCAAGTAAGCGATATCGAAGTTTTGTGGAACTGTCCGAAGCATCCATAGATTGACGCGGTTAGGATTGCTTAACTTGTTGCTTTTAAGCGACGATAGCCTAGTGATTAAGGCATTGGACTTGCGATCAAGAGGTCGTGGGTTTGAATCCTGACCAGTACACTACCGACGTGAACCCACTCCTAATACAAGCAAGTTAGCTTAGCTGGAGGGGTTAACGGGAATACTAGTAATTTCGGTTGCTAGTAAGCCTTTTAATTAAAAAAAAAAACAAAACCAAAAAAAAATGTGTTAAGCTACTTGATTCCTACTTAGCCACAAGCCACTCCTCGCATATAGATCAGACTCGTGTTTTAATACCTTTTAAGACTCTTCAAGATATATACTCGAACTTAGTTTCATGTAGCCGCTGTTACACAATTTTCAACTTTATAGCTCCTATTAAAAATTCAGCCTACTGCAGTTCTTTTTTTACTTCTACACCCTAACGACACTCCTCCCCCCACCGGCACCAAATCTAATCGCGTGATCGCACTTGTCGCTTGAGTTGAAGATATACCATAAAACAGACAGTTGTTTTGTGATTGCTAACAAAATTAATCATTACGGTAACTTACAGCAGATGCATAATTATGTATAGGAGCTCAGCCGAATGGGCCACTGGCCAAGAACATAACGGGTTGTCCAATTAAATATAAAATACATTTATAATGTATACATACATACACTAAAGCTACTTTAAGATCATTATTTTGGACTAAACATTCCCATTGCGGGATACGGTGTATTAAACAGGTGTATTAGTGTTCAAATTGTAAATTGCCTGTTTTTTGTAATTACACAGGGAACTGTCCCTGTGGTGACGGATTAAGAATACGGAGTGTCAACGCCCCTATTCCTCCCGTAAGAGACGACTAAGGGAGCAAACTACGCAGGACAACGGCACTAAAAAGAGAAGGAAAACTTGAAACTTACCCTATACCAAACAGTCTGAGCAGCGTGGTATGGTAGGCCGAAACCTCTTTCTAAGAAGAGAGACCTTTGTAACTATTAAATTCTGTTGATGATTATCACCAAACGCTCCCCTCTCCTTTAATCCTACTGGAGAAACTGGAAGGCCTCGTACTTTTGACTAAAAATCTCCTTTCTAATGAGAGGCCTATGTCCAGCAGAAAGGTTCCCTGATCAAAATGCAAAATTCTTTTTATCAAAGATTACGAACTTTTTATTTATTTAGAGTTTTCGCGAGTCTTGCAGTCGAGCCGACTTGACTGATTCGGTGGTGCAATGGTAGCGCATGCGACTGCTGTGCTGAGGTCTCGGGTTCGATTCCCGGGTTAGACCAAATCTTTGTATGATCTGCAAATATTTGTTTCGGAGTTTGGGTGTTTTCTGTGTATAATACATATTATTATGTATTTCCAAAAAAAAGCATAAAAGTATTCTATCAGTCAATCTAGTTTTCATAGTACTAGTTCTGCTTAGTTTAAAACTAGATTTCGTTGTGTGTCAGATGTCCGAAATATTATTATTATTATTATTTATTTTCATTTTTTTCTTTTTAAAGTTAAACTTTTATTACATCGCCTGAAATTGTTTCGTCCATCTATCGCATGCCGCATTACAGCCAAGGCCAATATGGCGGTGCGGCTGCGCTCGCATCAGCTGACCGTGTAGCATTTATACTCTTACTCATTCGTTCAAGTGCTCCGTGGTATTTGTGTGTTTTGATCAATACCCTAAATCATTCAAGTTAAATGCCTACGATCCGAAAAGAAAATCACTTGCATCGCGGTTTAATAAGACCACACCACACTTTTTGCCGCGTTGCCGGCCTTTGAGGAAGCAGTACGCTCTTTCAGGCTTGAAGGTCGTATCCGGAAATACGGCAGACGATAACTTGTTCCACAGACTTGTGACTTGTTGGTTGTGCGAAGCAAAAAGCAAGCATGGCTCATCTGTGCTCATGCTATATTAGACGACGCATTATTTGTAGTAGAATGGTTAGTATTTGTAACCCAGATACAAAATCTTCTTAAAACTGCCTCCAAACTATCAAAAGGCTTATAAGTAACTAGCTGACCCGCGCAACTTCGTCTGCGTCTCTCAATAGTAATAAATTTTCCGTTTTTGAAACATTCTTCATTGGTGCTCCGCTCCTATTGGTCTTAGCGTGATGATATATAGCCTATAGCCTTTCTCGATAAATGGGCTATCTAACACTGAGAGAATTTTTCAAATCGGTCCAGTAGTTTGTGAGATTAGCGCGTTCAAACAAACAAAAAAACTCTTCAGCTTTATAATATTAGTATAGATTAATACACTAACTAAACTAACTTAATACAGTTTCAAACATCAAAAGATGCTCCAAAACATCGAAATAAACTTGTTTTAAGAGTAAGCAGAGTAGGTGGACTACAATTCTATGAGATCTTCTTGACAGATTCAGCAAAGACAATGTACTGTGAAATGAGCATCAAACAAACTAAATTAAAACCAACCATTATTGGACAAAAAGTGGCTTTATATAATGAGCATCAAGTTAACTAAATTATAACAAACCAGTTTCGAACAAAAAGTGGGTTGGTTGAGACAGATTGCCACGAGGCAGCAAGACCAAGAAAAAACTAAACTGTACTGTTGTACAGTCCGTGTGGTGACGGATTAAGAATACAAATTGTCACCACCCCAATTCATCCCGTGGGTGTCGTAAGAGCCGACTAAGGGAGCAAACTAAGCAGGGCAATAGCACTGCAAAGAGAAGGAAAACTTGAAACAAACCCTATACCAACCCGTCTCGCCAGCGTGGTATAGTAGGCCAAAACCTCCTTTCTAAGGAGAGGCCTATGTCCAGCAGTGGACTAGTATAGGCTGTTGATGTGATGACTGCTGTCTATTAATACCTGCGGCTCCGCCCTTCCTCCAGAATCAAACTATCTCCATATCAAATTTCATTTAAATCGATACAGCGGTTATTGATTCTTCACACAAACTTCCACCCCGCTTTTTACCCCCTTAAAGGATGATTGATGGGATATAAACTATCCTATGTCCTTTACACTCACAAGCTATCTCTATAACAAATTTCATCTCATTCGGTTCAGCGGTTTAAGCGTGAAGAGTAACGACAGACAGAAAAATAAACACATTTTCGCATTTATAATATTAAGTATAGATATACCCTGTTTAAAAGGATGTATGTATATTTTAACTCCTTTTGTCTCCCGCTTAGCTGAGGAGAGGAGGAGGGATTTATTTTATTTCCAACACCTCCAATTTTTTTTTGATTAATTTCGTTGTGGGTTCCAAGACAGTTTAATTTTTCTGGCACTTATCGAGTGACTTAACTCCGTGTGTTAGTGCGTCACTGCTGTTGATCCTGGTATATAGGATTTACGGTGGTGGGCGTGTGGGAGGGATCAGTCCCGTTAGTATCTATATATATGTTGCTGGAAAATTATATAAACAGTTAGATTAGAATCTTTCGAGCGAGATTATAAACTGTATAAAGATTGTGAAACGAAACATACTGTTTACAATTTGACGCATTATTTTTAGGTAGATTATAATCTGTTGAAGTGAAACCGTCAAATAGAGATTTTTAATGATTGATTGATCCTCTTTCTTTAAGACAGAAAATAATATAATTGCACGAAGAAGTCTGGTCTGGATGGACATACAAATTACCATTCTAATCTAGTATTTCCGTGTCGGAATCTTTTGACACTTCAATCTAGCGAGAGAGATTGCAATCTAACGGTATTCACCATTTTACGGTAGACATCAAACAAAGATAAAAAACAAATATCAGATATTACCGCAAACAGTTGTTTATAAAACATACTTAGTTGTAAAAATACAGGAAAAATCAATACCAGTCTTAGTACGAAGCGGTTTAACGGTTACGTAAATACCGGCTTTGTACAACTTAGTTGCGATTATGTTGACGTAAACCAAGTACATAGTCTATCGCAGACTCTCGTTTATAGAACTGACGAAGGTGTACGATTTTATTTTATGTAATATATGTTAATGTATGTAATGTAATATGTATGTACATATGAATAATTATGTACATTGTCCGTGTGGTGACGGATTAAGAATACGGAATGTCACCACCCCTATTCATCCCGTGGGTGTCGTAAAAGACGACTAAGGGAGCAAACTACGCACTACTTGAAACAAACCCTATACCAACCCGTTTGGCCAGCGTGGTGTAGTAGGCCAAAACCTCCTTTCTAAGGAGAGGCCTATGTCCAGCAGTGGACTGTTATAGGCTGTTGTTGTGGTGGTTGGTTGGTGGTGGATGCACATATGAATAAAACTAGAATAAAACTATAGGTATACATATATATCACAGAAGCTCGACTAGTTTACCGGCCTAATGAGGATACAGCATGCTGTTGTCAGGCGCAAAACTCATCAGGTCACCCCTTAATAGTGTTCCATTCTCATCATATCTCAGGTTCAGATTGGAGTGAAATCAACGCTTGTCGTAAGCGCTAACAGTTTAAGGCAAATTTGTGTTTTCTATCCAGAAACCTTATTTGGAAATTGACAAATTAAATTTCAAAATTGCCCCAATAATATTAAATATTTCGTCACAATGGCAGTTATGGATAAAAATATACTTCACTAACTGACCCTGCAAACGTTGTTTTGCTATTTACATTATTTAAATATATATATTTTTTTTAATTTCGTAAAATCCGTTATTAGCTGACCTCTAAGCTATGCCATATGTATAACCAAAAGGTATATGGAAAGTAGTGCCGAATTCTTTAAAAATCACACTAATATTATAAAGACCAAAGTTTGTGTTGTTTGTATGTTTGTAACTTCTTCACGCTCAAACCGGCGGAAGCCGTTTTAATAAAATTTGATATGGAAGTAGCTGACACCCTGGATTAACACATAGACTACTTTTTTTCCTGAAAATATGAACAATTCCAGTGGGATGACCAGGTAACTCCGCTGGCGGAGCCACTCTTCGATTAATGGAAGAAAAATTCGTACCTGAGGCCAATCTTCCTTCGAAGTAGCTCTCTCAATGATTTCTTTGATGGTGTTCTGTCTGGAGTTGGGATCATCGCGCCAGACGTACACAGGCTGTGTGTAGTTTATCAGCTCTAGAAAGACAAAATTTATAATTAGGTACTTTTATTGCTTTATCATTTCTACATCACCCCAAGGTTATCTGGTAGTGAAGGTAGCCTCTGTACAAAGGTGCATGAAGTTTTAAATAAAAAAATAAGTAAATATTCATCTTAAATATTATTCATCAGCATTGGACAACTCATATAGTCTTAGGAAAAGACCAAGGTTAGAAAAAGTTCTTTGGTTGTCTCGCAACTGGAAAGCGGAGCTTGGGACAGCCTGCAATAGGTTGACCACCTGTTATAAAATGATTTGATGTACAGGTGGCTTTAGAGGGACCTTTCTACGGTAGACTTTGAGAGGAGCTTTTAACGTTAAACGGTAGAATTCGTCTGACCAAAACCTTATGATGATATAGCTACTCAAAGAACAAAGTGTAAATAGACACCAAGATATCATGAAGTTCTGAGATCTGGCGTTGATTACTATAACGGTATACATAGCAGACTGTTTTTATTACTCATTTTAAAAGTGCAAATATATGTGCAGTATATATATAAATAAATAAAGTAGAATTATCAAATCAAGACTTAAGATTGTTTACATAAAGTACATAATTGTAGGCATACATATTACGCCTCTATGAATATTAATTTCGTAACTAAATTACTTTTAGCAGTTCTTTACATATATGTGAAGGTGCGAGGCTAACCTGAAGAACGTGTTACACATATTATGTTTATAAATAGTTTTAGTCAAATAAGCTTAATCTAATTCCATGCAGCCATGCTCGCGAATACAAGGTGATAGAGTTCCCGCATTGCGACACTTGGTCGTTCAACCGATTGAAATAAATTTGAAGGTTAACTTCGAATATTATAATTATTTAAATAAACCACTGGGTACAGTCACTCAATTCACCAAAGATTGTCGGTTTATTCAATGGAGTCAGTTCCACATGGAACTTTTGCAACCCACTAGTTCCATATATGGAACTAGTGGGAATTGCTATTTGAACCGGAAAATTATACCCAGTACTTCCAAGACGTCAGTTGCAACCTGGTTTGTTCTATTTTAAGACACTTTCGACGGTTATTTGTTATTTCGTGTTGTTTTTTTTCAATCATATACAAGAGACAGGACATGACAGGACAGACAGAGGATAAAAGAACGGGGTAAGCCTTTATAACTAGATAACACAAAACTTTTAATTTTTACTACTTCCCTACCTACCTGTTTTGAGTGCGATATTATGAAATTGCTGAAACCTGTATCTCATTGTCATCACTTTTAGAAGAATATTTTAAACTAAGATTCATATCCACAGCAGCAAGAATACCGACACTTTTATACAAACTTCAATTGCTGGCTGCTATTGCATCTACGAAAACCTGTGGTATTATTTTTCCTTTTACAACATAACCTCTCTTATAGATTTTTTATGAATAAAATAATTTGCTGTAAAAGTAGTATAAGATTTCAGGAAACAAATGGGACAAAAATCGTATTTTTGTCGTTACATCAGTTCTATGTGGAACTGTCTTCATGGAACTACTGGGAATATACCAGATTGTCTGATAGAAGACCGCCTCTAGTGATATTATATAGGGAGGCAAACGACATTATGTTATAGGAGTGCAAACAAGCAGATGGGTAAGGGACTACCGCAGTCCAGGGATACCTGCAACATTCAAGAGTAACAACAAGTGCGTTGCCACCTTCAGTTTGACCCCCCCCCCCGTGTCGCGGGGGACTTTACTAACGTATATGAAACGGACACAAAGAAAACCCAGACTAAGAACGACATTTGTTGATCACACAAGGTGTCGTCCCATGTGAGGATCAAACCCACAACACTCAGCGTGATAGGAAGCGGCGTGGCGACCGCTTAAACCACTACGCTATCCGTGCAGTCGATTTACCTATAGATTTATATGGTATAAAATAAAGAATATTCTATTCTTTGAAATTCGTTGAAAGAAGAAGACACTTAGCAGTCAGTGCTGAGAAAAAGTGCTACAAAGTGCAATAAATGCTACTAAGTTTAAAATTATGCCCAAAACGGCCACATTAAACGATACGGGTTCACTTTATTTGTTGACCTGATGCGATACAAAACTCTACGCAATGACAGGTCAAGTTATACAAGTCATTGAAATGAAATACTGACTTGACTTGACTGCACGGATGGCGTAGTGGTTTAAGCGGTCGCCACGCTGCTTCCTACTACGCCGAGTGTTGGGGGTTCAAGCCCCACATGGGACGACACTTTGTGTGCTCCACAAATTGTGGTTCTGAGTCTGGGTGTTCTTTGTGTCCGTTACATGTATGTTTGTAAAGTCCCCCGCGACACAGGATAAATTCCTAATGCGGGACTTGTCTTTTAAAAAAAAACAAAGACATCGATCACTATTTCTATTCCTTATAAAACCGGGAAAACGATAGGCTCTCTAGATATCCTCATCATCATCGACAGCCTTTAGTAAACCACTGCTAGACATAGGCGTCTCCTTAGAACAGAGGTTTTGGCCTACTATACCGCGCTGGCCAGACGGGTTGGTATAGGGTTTGTTTCAAGTTTTCCTTCTCTATGAAGTACTGTTGCTCTGCGTAGTTTTTTCCCTTAGTCGGTTCTTACGACACCACGGGATGAATAGGGGGGTGACACTCAGTATTCTTAATCCGTCTTTCTGTGTATACAACAATAAAAGCTTAAGATTTCAAAATTTCAAGTATGTAGAAGTTTAGGCTTTGCGTTGATGAATCAGTCATTCAGGGCAGAATTGATATGTATAGATTATAACATATTTCTTCCCACTTTCTTGTAATCTGTCTCAATAATTTCGTGAAAAGAAGAAGAATAGAAGAAGAAGAAGAATATTATTTATTTCATAAAGCACAGCATACAAAAATAAAACAAAAGTTAAAAAACAACATACACAAAGAAACTAAAAATCAAATAAGGTTTGATAAACACGTTAATAAGGCAACGTACGCAGCCACGTACGGTACCTTGTGCTCATTCAACTATAGGCAATCACAACTAATGGTATAGGAGCTAGCAACGTTTTCGAGAAAGAATTTTAGGACAGCTGATTTTGTGATATGTCGTCCTTCTTGCACTTTCGGTTAGAATCTGGGCTATCTGGCTGGCGGTAGCGGTTGCGTTCATTAGTGCGCATCCTACCTGTCCAGGTAATAATCCTGTATTTTAAAAACATTTTAGAAGGCGTAATTTTTAATTTTTTGTTTTTAAATAAGTCTACCTGACATACTTTTTTTTTTTGCCAGACATTTTTGACAATGCTAACTATGTGCCATACGCGATTTTTGTTATTTTTTTTTATAAAATTTCAAAGTATTTTATAATGTCTGTAATTTTAATATTATGTTATTTAAAGATAAGAAAAACTTAAAATAAATTTGCCAGACATTAATTCGATTGTTAAGTCTTGAATTAAAATTAAAAAGTCATGAAAATATTGCAGTATGATGCTAGTAATAACAAGACATATTTTCACTAAAAATCAACTTCTTCATATCTCACTACTTTTGAAAATAATGTGCCTGAGCAAGAGTTGAGTAAACATGAGATTAGTATTTTGATGATGATGCGACTTAACAATCGAATTAATGTCTGGCAAATTTATTTTAAGTTTTTCTTAGTCGTTACGTGACGAAAATTTGGAGAAATGCTCACTCAAAACATCCAACAACTTTATCTCCAATGGCTTTCGGTTGGACCATTAACGGTGACAAATATGATTTTGTCTGGTTTTTGGGAGATCAATTACCATCCTCAGTTGCAGATATTATTGTTCAAAGTAAGTGTGAAATGGAATATTTATCAATAATAACTAAAATGTTTTATAACGAACTAGAAGAATTACACTGTTTATTTTTTTTCTGTTGCAGATGATAGAGTTTTAGAAGATAACGAAAGTTCCCAAGAAGATGATATGAATGACACTGACAAAGACAGCGACGATGATGATAATATAATAATAATAATATGATATAATAATATATTCTACCACATTCACACAACGCCGTCTAGTCCCAAACTAAGCAGAGCTTGTACTATGGGTACTAGACAACTGATATAAATACATATATACTTTTTTTGTTGTAAATACATACATATTATACATAGAAACACCCAGACCAAATCAAACATCAAATGTTCATGCACACAAATGTTTGACTTGAGCGGGAATCGAACCCGCGACCTTTGGAACAGCAGTCCGTTACACAAACCACTACGCCATCCAGTCGTCGCCAACCATCATGATGATGATTATGAAGATGCCTCTTTTTTTTGTGACGTCAATATAGGCTGAAACAACTTGAAAAACTTAATATTAATTATTTATAATTTACATTTAGTAATCAGAACAATTTAAATAAAAAGTGTTGTTTTTTAAATTTTAATCTAATTTTATATTCCTTTTTATGCTTAATTTTTTTTTTGAAACTTGCTCTGACTAGAATGATGATTATTATTATTCTTATTCTTATTATTATTTATTTTTTTATTATATGCACAGTGAAAAGTAATTTACTTTCGTAATGGTTCTCTGTATCATTGTTGACTTATTCTGCAACTATCTCTCTCGGACTACTAGCATCATACTGCAATATTTTCATGACTTTTTAATTTTAATTCAAGACTTAACAATCGAATTAATGTCTGGCAAATTTATTTTAAGTTTTTCTTATCTTTAAATAACATAATATTAAAATTACAGACATTATAAAATACTTTGAAATTTTATAAAAAAAATAACAAAAATCGCGTATGGCACATAGTTAGCATTGTCAAAAATGTCTGGCAATAAAAAAAATATGTCAGGTAGACTTATTAAAAAACAAAAAATTACGCCTTCTAAAATGTTTTTAAAATACAGGATTATTACCTGGACAGGTAGGATGCGCACTAATGAACGCAACCGCTACCGCCAGCCAGATAGCCCAGATTCTAACCGAAAGTGCAAGTAGGACGACATATCACAAAATCAGCTGTCCTAAAATT